CGGTGAAGTGTGGGATGCAGCGGTACCCGCCGCTGTATGTGGAGTACATGCGCAGCCATGTGGTTGCCCTGGAAGCCAATGGTATTGTATACAAAAACAACCGGGCTACGTGGGCCGCGACCCCAAGGATCGTGCCGAAGAAGGAAGTCGGCGACTTGCGCATGACGATCGACAGCAGGCCGATCAACGCCTGCACGGAGCCGATGCCAAACCTGGACAGTGCGATGGTCTGTCTGGTCGGAACGAACATGTACTTCAATTTGGACTGGACCAAGGGGTACTCGCAGTTGCCGCTACATGCGAACAGCCAGTTGTAATTCTCGTCCATGACTCCTTTCGGCGTGTACACCCCGACCCGCGTGCTCATGGGACAGACGGACGCTGTCGCGTACTGCCAGTCGGTTGCCCACCAAATGCTTGGTGAGCTGCTGTTTCGAGGCCTGTTGGCCTGGCTCGATGACTTGCAGGGGTCCGCCAAGACGACGGACGAGCTGCTCGACTTGTTGGACCAAGTCCTGTCCATCTGTGCCCAGTTCGGACTCAAGTTGAGCCCGAAGAAGTGTCATTTTTTCTGCGCGAGGCAGAATGGTGTGGCAAGGTGATTTCGGTCGATGAAATCACCCATTCCCCAAGCCGAATTCAAAGACTTGTGGGCTTGTCGCCGCCGACGACCGCGGCCGGCCTCCAGCAGTTTGTGTGTGCCACCAACTGGATGCGTGCGAGCATCCCCAGCTACAATCAGCTGGTGGATCCATTGCGACGTCTGCTCGACGTGGCCACCAAGGCAACCGGAAGCTGCAAGAAAACGGCGTTAGTGCGTGTTGCACTCCCTGCTGTGGGATGGTCGTCCGACCATCTCAAGTGTTTCAACGATGTGAAACACGCGTTGGCGCATGTGGTGCCCCTGTCGCACCCGCGAGAAGACATGACGGTCTGCGTCTTCACGGACACCAGGGACCTGTTTTGGGGTGCGGTCGCCACACAAGTACCGCCAGCAGACCTCGACTTGCCTCCCGCTTGCGTTCATCAATGGGTCGTTTTCTAGCGCGAGTGCGCGTTGGACCATCGTGGAGAAGGAGGCCTATGCCGTGGTCGAGTCGTGCAAGATACTCGACTACCTGGTCGTACGCCCGGGTGGTTTCCGTCTGTCTACGGATCACCGCAACTTGGTGTACATTTTCAACCCAAGTGGCTCGAACGCCAACATGGCCAAGTACCAGGCCGACAAGCTGCAGCGATTGTCGCTGGTGATGTCGACCTTCCCGTACACCATTGAGTGCGTCTCGGGGGACGCGAATGTATGGGGCGAAATCCTGAGCTGATGGGGTTTGGCTCCGACGGATCAACCAGTTGCGAATGTTCGCAAGTTGATCCATGTGGTGTCGCCCCTGCAACAAGTGACAGCCGCTACGATCAGCGACATCCAACGTTCAATCATGGAAGGGGGAGGGACCCCCCCAAACGGCGTGGATTGGGACGACGACTCCCATTTTTACATGGACCCAGGGACGAATCTGGATCCCAGACGGTGCTGTTGACCTACAAGCAGCGGATTTGTGTGATCGCTCACCAAGGAGCCAGCGGTCACTGTCGCATTGCAGCGACGACCAAGTCGGTGTCCGACAAGTTTGTGTGGAAGATGCTTTCCACGGACGTCGAAGCGTTCGTGCGGGCCTGTTTGCACTGTCTGTGCTTTGACGGAGAATTGATTCCCCGTCCATTGGGTTCGGCGCTTCACGCGGAGAAGTCGAACGAGCTCATCCATTTCGACTGGTTGTCGATGCCCATGGCCAAGTCTGGCCAAAACCAAGTGCTTATCGTGAAGGACGACATGAGTGGCTTTGTGCAGCTGTTCGCGGCAGAGTCTGCTGACGCCGCAGCGACCGCTCAGTGCTTGATGACGTGGTTTACCACGTTCGGCTGCGTTGACACATGGGTGTCAGATGGCGGTTCTCACTTCAAGAACGAAGTGATCGAGAAGGTGCAGAAGTTGGTGGGTGCCCACCATCATATCACGACAGCCTACAGTCCTTGGGTGAACGGGACTGTAGAAGTAGTGACCAGTGCTGCGCGCCGTGAAGGAAATGAAGCTGAACGCGGACGAATGGCCGCATGTGTTGCCCCTCGTTCAAGGCGCCCTCAACCATCAGCCGGCGGACCGGCTGGGAGGAATTGCGCCTGTGACAGCGTTTACCGGCCTACCAGCCAAGACCCCGCTGGCAGGATTTGTCCACCCGACGTCCAAGGAAGTTTACGTCGCGGACTGGCTTGGCGCCACCCGTCAGAAACATGTGACGGACCTCCA